TGAATTTACTTTGCACAGAAGAAGATGTAAATTAGCATAACTTCAATGAGTATTTACTTTGTCAGTTTCAAACACATAACTCAATTATTTGGTATTTTAAAAAAAAGTTATTAGCAGCATTTACTGTGGAATCATCATTGTTCTTGGGGGAGGATAGGTGGGTCAAACATATCCACTAATTTATATTCCCACAAATACTTATTTTTTCAACTTGTCAATTCATTGAATCTTTAACTTAATGTATTTTAAAGTTAACCTTATGAATTATGTCTGCACAAACCAGTTGAATTAAATGCCTGCCCACTAACAGCTGATTAATGCCCCCCCCCCCAAAAAAAAATGATTCCACAGTTTTTCAATTTTCAAAAACTATAGAAGGCCATATACACGTATCTGCAGGTACTTTGGGTGGTTTAATCATCTTTGCTTGTGCTGGTCTGTCTGATGCCTTCATCAGCTAGCTATTCTGTATCCTACAATTAAATTCTTGTTTCCAAATAAAACAGCTGTAAAATGCTTTGTATTATTTATGCTTATTTAATTTTGTCTATAGTTTTTAATTATTTTTTTTTTCTTAATGTTTGGAAAAAAAAAATATGAGAGGGATTCGACAAGAATTTATATTTCCTGCAAATATACATTTTTTTTAAAAAAGTGTGTGTTATATATCAGGGACCTATATATACTTTAATAGTTAGTAGAGATCCCTGGTTATATTTTAAAAGTTCATATTCATGCAAAATCTACAGACATAATAAAAAAAATATAAAATGTATTCCATGAGTACATGTTTGAGTGTGTCCTTGATCTTTGGTATTCTGGCATTTATTAATGGAAAGACTTGATATAAAATGTTTAAAATCTCAGGGCCCGGATTTACCTAATGGCCGATACAGGAAGTTTTCGAAGGGCAAGGTCAAAATCCACTGGTGACGTAGTTTGATGCAGACTACAAGTCTTGTTTGCACAAAGATTCAAAAAGTATTAACAAAGGTGGATATATGGTGTGATAAGTGTTATAAGTATATAAATCCAGGAAGTGCACTTACGGGACATGTATAGAAGTGACAAGATGTTTAATCATATTTACACTGAACTATATATATATATATATTGTGTTTGGGATTTACTCAGTGCAAGGTAAAGTTGTAGATTTTGTTTACATTTACACTCTATAGAACGTATTCGCTTACATGTTTTGGTAAAGCAGTCATGCTCTTCCTTGGTTGATATTTTGCAGCCTCGAATGTTTTTAACATTCAAACTTACGAATCCTTGAGTATATGAATTCAAATGGGTCGCAGTGTTTAGCTCTTTTAAACTTCTTCTGTCAATTGATATGCAATGTATGCTTAAAACTCCGTATTTTATCACTAATTTTAAAATACACGTGTATTAGGTGCTTGGTAAGTCTCGGGCGGTATGCTTTTCCGGACGTCCGTAAGTGCAGAGAATTTCCGAAAGTGTGTTACGTCATTACGTCAAATGACGGTAAAGTACGGAAATCCACGAATAATGATGGATCCCCTTCCGAAGTGACGGCCATTTTGGCAATGTTAAATCCCCGTAGACTTTGAATTTGCCGCCGTGTCAATACACCGGTTGAACTCGAGGGTTCGGATAAATGGAGGAAAATTGGAAAAAAAATGATCTATCGATCGGACCTAGGCTGAAGGCCAAGGTATTTATATATTTTGAGATATGTTGCAAAAAGTGGTGACAATAGCTTGGTGGGACAGACTATAACTGCTTAATGACCTTAAATGACGAATGGAGGTCTAAATTTGCAGCCCTCCACCAGCAACTGGTATACCGTGAACCAACTTTTATTCGCGTGCGAACAATATCCGTGAGTTTCGCGACCTCCTTTAACTCATGAATATTTATCGCCACGAACCAGTTATTTTGCAGTGTATATGTAGAGAATACTGTAGATTCCTAAATATACGAGAGGAATTAATTATCGCGTAATTACGCGAGACGCACCACTCGCGAAATAAAATTTCTCGCTTTTTTTTTAATGGTGCTGAAATCAATGTAAAATCCCTTGATCAACCGTCCACTCGCGAATTATTGTTCTCGCGATTTGACGTGAAAGAGCCATTTCGCGATAATAAGTACCCGCTAAAAATAAGGAATCTACAGTATTTTCTCGGTCGAGAAAAATAATCGTCGCGGATTAATTTCAAAAAGTCGAATCGCGAATAAAACATTACACGAATATAAGTTGGTTTACAGTATCCTCCTAATACAACTGAAATTTTTTGAAATGAAGTAAAGCAGGTATTCTGCCAACTAATATTACATCCACATTGTCAAAGTTTGTAAATAAGTATCTTTTGGTGAGGAGGTACGAGTTGCATTGATTTTATCCCAAACATTGAATAGCACTGCAGAATTCTGATAATGTAATGTTCAGGAGTTAAATGCTTGAAAAATGAGTTCAAGGTTCTGATTTAGGAACGAATAAGGACCTCTTCCATATATTGTTCTTTTTTGCAAAATTAAAGTGGCTTGAAACTTTTCTTAAACCATATCAAAAACCAAATTCATGTTTATAATGTCCAAGCAGGACCTTTAAATAATAAACAGACTATGTAACTATAAAGTAACGACAATCTGAAACACTTTATTTATCAGGATTCAAGTCATCTAAAGTATATTAATATTGTAACATAAACACACACACAAACACTCTCTCTCTCTCCCTCTCTGTAAGAAATATTGATATGTAATAGACGTGCATTTAAGTGCGTCATATTGATCTTTTTGTTGAATAATCAATTCTGTGGCATTTTAAATTTAAACAATATCTAATTTCTCAACAGTCAGGTAGAAGACCGAATTAATGCAAAATTAAGTTATTTCAGAACATGTTGTATCAGTGTGTCCTTTGCTTTATATAAGGTTGTCGTTAAAATTTCTGTAACATTGTTCCACCTTTTATCTGTCCGATATTTAGAACTGACAATTAATTGCATCAACCTAGGTTTTACAGGTATAAATGTTCAATATATGATTACAGTAACCCAAATGATCCCTTTAAATGTAGCAAGCGTCATGTTTTCTTTGTGTTCATATTCTTTAGTTATCAGACATTGCATTTATAATTTATGACTAGATTGTGTGTTCAAGGCTAGAAGTAAACAAGAAGGGTTTTGAAGTTATAAGGCATATAGTTTAAAAGAAATAAGATATATATATATATATATATATATATATATATATATATATATATATATATATATATATATATATATATATACCTTTGCTGTGTTTTTTTACTAAGCCGACTGTGAAATTGATTTGAATGTCATTTTCGTGTATACTCAGGCGTAGAAATATGCACGGAGAAACTCGCTCTAAAATGACGTCACAATGAGCTACGGAGACGTTAATAAAAATGTAACGATATAGGGCAGGAATAATTCAAACTTCGTGCTTTTGAACACATAAAATGTCAATATAAGGAATGTTTTAAAGTTTAGTGTAAATTATTGGTGTGTAAATCACACAAACTTGCAGTAGGCATATCATGAAATATGCCTACATGACAAATCTGTGTGATTTACATACCAATAACTCGCACAAAACTTAAAAACATTCCTTAAGTAAAGCACTTATCATTTGTGATTAATTTAGACCAAAATAGGTCAAATATTGAATCAAAAGAAAAGAAAATAAAGTGATGGAGAGGGAGAAAAAATAAATCGAAGAGACTTTTTCTTCTTCAACAAATGGATTACTAGTACTTTATCTCAGAGGGTAACGTGAAAATTCAAAGGTTATATAACCTTAGTTCCATCCTGAGGCTTGCACTCTGTATTCGTGGGACAAGGTTATCACATATTTTACAGAAGGATAATAATTTACACAGTTTGCACCAACAGGTCCAGGAAGAAAAATTATCAAATAAATAAATGAAACTAAATAAGTCCTACTCAGATACCAGAATGCTGGACCAAGGGGACATATTCATTGTATTTTACAATTCCCATTGCTCAGTATACCCATGCAAATAGTTTGCCTGCTTAGTATGCATAATTTTCAATATATGACCAGCTTATCTCCTTCCTAAGCCAGAATGCTGGGTTCATGACTTTCAAATTTGGGGTTGAATTCTCTTTATACTCAGGCAAACAGTTGCCTTCTAGATGTGCAGAAATATAGAAAAAATTCAAAGTATTGCATGAAAAGAGATATTTTTGGTCTCATCCCTCATATAATCTTGATGACCATATAATACAGCCTTTTCATTTCTATTCCCCGTTATATTAACTTTACGTAATTATGCTAAAACGCCTTTCCACTTTGCATTCTTTCGAATTATAAAGCCGTGTTTTCTGTGAGTTATTTCACCTTTTTGATGCAATTACGCCTAATCAGAATTAGTTTCAATGATTCTAATAGGCTTCCGGAATTCCACTCTAAAACAATCAGGTTATACATTGTAGTTCATTGTACTATCATACCATCATTTTCCGATCAGTCCTTTCAAGATAAATTAAAATTCCTTTTTCGCTCTATTCAGTCATTGTACTTTGTACTCACCGAAGAATAATATTTCATTCCCGCATTTATAGATTTAGATTCCATTCTACATTCACTAGTAATAAATAAAATGATTGAAATGTGATCCGTAAATCAATTCCCCCTCTCTCCCTCCTGAGCATGGACACCTTTGGAGACTCGTACGTACTGAGGTATTTTATTCCATGATATGCAATTTTCTTCCAACGTAGGCAAATAATGACCCCATGTATACCATTATAGAAAAAAGTTCAAGAGGAGAATAAAATGTTTTTCTAAGTTTCCAGTTCCCGACACCCCCTTGAAACATAAATTATTTGATTAAGGAAACTTTATTTTAAAAAGTTGTGAACATCACACTAACGACAATAAAGGATAATTGAAAACAATAGGTCACCTGAAAATTGAAATCTCAAAACGTGTTTGCGTTTAAAATTAATAAGAATAAAACTTTAAAAAATATATCCGTATTAGTGTCTAGTTAGAATATATCTGACGTTTCTTAAAAACATAGAAATGTGTTCTTTCAAAATCATGAAGTCAAACACAATAATGACTGCAAATACCATGGTGATCATGACGATACCTAACGATCCAATCGACTGAGACGAGGGACGATTGTCCTTTACGCTGATCTTTTTCCTGATGTTGGACGACAGTTGTTTTACATTAATAAAAAGCTCTTTCTTCATCTCTTCTATTACTTTTGCTAGTTCTTCATTTGTGTAGTTCTTTGGCTTGTGTACTCTGTCACACGGACACCGGCAATTAGCTGCAATGCAAAGACGTAAAAATCAAAATGTAATATTTTTGGTGATGTCTTCATTTTTGTGTTTGTAAATACTACTTACATGTTATTTAGATATGCAATAAGCTTAAAATTTTGCTAGTGGTTCTTGAAAAGATTGTTTAATTCCCTATCCCATTTTAAACGTATCTGAAATATCTCCAATATGAAAGGCACTTGCTCATTCATTCAGGCTGTAATGGGAAACTTTGTATGTTTCAATTTATCTAAAATTTCTGTAGTTTACAGTGAGGAAAACAAGAATAACATTTCTCAGGTTTGACAAGAGGCTCTTGCGTAGAACGAGTTTCTCAGGCTATGACCACTTTGAACCCCCCCCCCCCCCCCCCCGAACTGATCTGGGCTTATATTACAAAACTTTTACAGTTTCGTTAATGCTTTACAATCATTACAACAATCTCGCTAGTTCTCTCCTAGAAGTTAAGCAGTAAATATGCTAAAGAACACATATTATATATTTCAAATATGACCAACCTAGTCCCATCCTGAGGTCTGATTCCTGGCTACGGGGGCCATGAATTATATAATTTATACACTTTGCCTGCTAAATATCCATTAGTAAAGGAAATTTAGAAAATATAATGCATTTTTAATGTGACAAATTTATTTTCATAATTTGGTACAGGGCTCATTGCTTATTATAGACATGTCAACAGGGTGAATGCTGGAGTAAAGAAGATTTTTGGAGATTGCATTAATTTGTTGTTTTGTAAGAAAAATTTGGTGTATTTTCTGTCTTACAAATGCAAAAAATTAAAGATTCCAAGTAGAGTTTATAGATTATTTGTGACCCGTTATCATTTCTGTCTATCTTTAATACGGCACCTATATGGAATTCAAATCATTTATTTGAAATTAATGAAGCCATTAATTTAATTTAAAGAAAAAAGTGGAAAAGCTATATTTTTTTTTCAAAAGTGCCTAATAATAATAATAATAATCTGTTTTCTGAATTACGTTACAGTGATTTTCGTTACATTGTATCTAGGGCCGATTTTTTCTGTCAACGATTAGTATTTAATATACTAGTACATGTATGTCTTTCATCCAATTTTTTTCATCAGAGGTTGACATACAGATATCTATCGATGTTTTTTTTTTCATTATTAGGTATGAAAAGTAATTGGACATTTTTAAATGGCCATTGACACAACTTGACTGAATTTGGGAGAACTTCTTGTCAGAACACCAGGTCTTCTCACGACGTGAGCGTGACATTTGACCTTTAATCTCAATTAAAATTCGATAAATATCAAATGTCATTTGTTAATTGACTGCGAGGATTTCAACTGCAGGCATGATCAATGTTTTATTTTCTTCAAAATAAAGGAAATATGGACCAAATGAACTTGGTACTTCAATCAATTTATACCTCATGTACTGCTCGTCACATGACTTTTAAGAATTTATTCTGTTCTATTTGAACTGAAAAATTAAATAAAACCAAACTCTTCAGGTGTCAAAAATTTAGCATTTGTTGCAACTTCCGTTACGTGAGTTGAAACATGTGTTTCTTAGAATGTTCTATTATCTCCCTCTTCAAAATCATACATGCAATGAATGTGGTAGATTCATATACAAAAATGTTATCACATTACTGCGGTAGTTTTGTAAGGAAAAAATGCCAGGACACCTAGCAAATGTGTACGAGGATTGTTCGAAAAGTTCGCGGACGGTGTCAATTTTCTAATAATATATTTTAGAAATTCAAGATCACCACATTATTACATGTAAAACATTTATTTTGTTGAAGTGTGACGTTTCACTCCATATGATGAAATGAAATTCATGTCACATAATTTTAAAATTAAAATGTTTTCTTACCATTGAACAAATTAACAGGATAGAACACACACACACACACACACACACACACACACACACAAAACAATAATGAATTTCTCAGAAATACTCTCCCCGTACATTTAACACACAGTCTGGCCAAATATCCACCTATTACACTATATCACTTGGCATTTAGTTTTAGCTCACCTGAGCTGAAAGCTCAAGTGAACTTTCCTGTTCACCTGTTGTCTGGCCGTCTGTCTGTCTGTCTGTTCGTCTGTAAACTCTCTACATTTTCGGCTTCTTCTCGAGAACAACTAAGCCAATTTTAACATAAAGCATCCTCGGATGGCGAGAATTTTAGATTATTCAAATGAAGGGCCAAGTCCAAGACCTATTCCAAGGGGATATAATCAAAAGAAAGCAAAAATAGGATTGGCAATTAAAAAAGTCTTCTTCTAAGGAAAAACTGGGCTACAAGGGATGAAACATATATAAAAGATGCTTGAGGTAATGTAGACTCTAGATTGTTCAAATCATGCCCCCCATCATTGTGGCCCATGGGCCTCTTTTTTACCTCATGTTTAACAATCATTTCAGTGGCATATCTTCGTTTGTCAGTATTTTTATTTATTTGTTTAACGTATAACTCTATGATCTGCTTTCACAAAATTCACAAAAAGTAAAGCATCCAACTCTTTCATGACGTTATCGATTCTTTTGATAAGATTTTTTACCAATAATCTGTTTCCTGATAGACAGTATATAGCCTGATATACAGCGTCTATACCACTCAAACACCGCCTGTGACATTAAAACACAAATCACAGCTCAGATTTATTAAAAGTTGACTACATACATTATAAGTTTGCATTGTTTGTAAACTACTGAATTTTGACCTGCTACCTGATTCCATTTTCGTAGTTTTAAAGTTTGAATTAGTTTGAAATATATCAAGACATATTAGAAATTTTAAATTTAAACCGTTCTAATTCATTGTTAAAACATGTCTATATTATGCATGAAGTTTAGTGAAAACGATAAGACAAATGTCCGCAACTTTTCGAAATCCGTCGTATATTTAGATCAATAATCATTGTTGTAAAACTTTACCTGATTTACATTGCGCACCACTGGTTGCCCCAAGATGTCTAGTAGTGAAGTTTTTTGGACATGGAAAACAACTAACATTGCTTCCACTGATGTTTTTGAAAAAACCAAGTTTACAGGGATCGCATTTCTCTGTACTTTCGTTATACTCTCTTCCCTCTGAACACACCTCTAGAAACACAATCAAATTTATCATTGAAACATTTCCTGGCATATGTTTCATACATGAAGCTGAAAATAAGGGATGTCAATGTGTATTGGAGTACTCGACTATTATTCGGTCATAAAAATAACTAGTATTAATTGTAACGGGGACCGTTACAGATGTTCCCCAAACGCTCCCCAACTTCCTTTTGATGTCTTATTCCCTGTAAGCTTCATTAAATAAGGCAATCAAGTATATTGGGTTTTTTTACGCATTACACGCGCGCGCACAGGCATGCATGTACAAAATGACCATGTCAACTTGTCTACACTTTTAATACATCTTTATATTCAAATTTCATTAAAAGATAAGAAAAAATCGGCTATATTAAGTATATCTGTCATTTTTCGCATTGCACGCACGCGCACGTGCATGCATGTCCATGATGACCGTGTCATCTTGTCAACACTATTAATATATCTACATATTTTGGGTATCAAATCATTTCATTAAAAAGTATAAAAGTTACAGCTATATCAAGTATATTGGTCATTTTAGCATTGCATGCGCGCGCACTTGCATGCATATGCATGTTGACAATGTCGTCTTGTCTACATTTATAATATGTCTATATATTCTGAGTATCAAAGCATTACATCAAAAAATGTAAAAGTTATGGCTATATCAAATATATTGGTCATTTTACTCATTGCACGCGCACGCACGTGCATGCAAATGCATGCATGTGCGCGCTGATCATGTTATCTTGTCTACACTTCTAATATATATTTATATTCTGAGTTTCAAAGCAATTCATCAAAAAATATAAAAGTTAATCATATATCATTTGTATAGGTTATTTCAATCATTGCGCATGCGCACACGTGCATGAATGTGCATTCTGACCATGTCATCCTGTCTACACTATTGATATATCCTGATATCCTGAGTGTCAAAGCATTTTATCAAAAGATATGAAAGTTATGGCTATATCAAGTATATTTGTCATTTTACTCATTGCACGCGCACGCACGTGCACGCATGTGTGCACTAATCAAGTCCTCTTGTCTACACTTCTAATATATATTTATATTCTGAGTGTCAAAGCAATTCATCAAAAAATGTACAAGTTAAGTCTAAATCAATTGTATTAGTTTTTTCAATCAATGCGCATGCGCACACGTGAATGCATGTGCATTCTGACCATGTCATTTTGTCTACACTATTAATATATCCTTATATTCTGAGTATCAAAGTATTTCATCAAAAGATATGAAAGTTATGGCTATATCAAGTATATTGGTCATTTTACTCATTGCACGCGCACGCACGTGCATGCGCGCAAAATGACCTTCGTTCCGCAAATCTACATAACATTCCTATTAACCCTAAAAAGGTTTCAACTCAATCGCATGTGTAGTTTCGGAGATCACTCACGGACAAAAAAGTACCCAGGAAGAAAAATAATAATAACTAGATCCGATCTCGTTGCGAGCAACGAGTGGGTCTTCCGTCCGATATCGATGAGATGTGATTTTGATTGTTAAAACAAGGACTATCACTGTATTTTAAAAGATGGAGAACATCATACAATGTGTTTTGAAATCACTCAAAGGTCAAATAGAGTGAGATTTAAACGATTTAAATTTTTCAAAAAATTTAAATTAAATCCAAATGTTAAAACAAGGACTATCTCTGTATTTTAGGAGATGGAGAACATCATACAATGTGTTTTGAAATCTTTCAAAGGTCAAATAGAGTGAAATTTAAATGATTTAAATTTTTCAAAAAATTTAAATTGAATCCAAATGTAAAAACAAGGACTATCTGTGTATTTTGAAAGATGGAGAACATCATACAATGTGTTTTGAAATCACTGAAAGATTAAATAGAGTGAGATTTAAACGATTTAAATTTTTCAAAAATTTAAATTGAATCCAAATGGTAAATCAAGTACTATCTCTACATTTTGAAAGATGCAGAACATCATACAATGTGTTTTGAAATCTCTCAAAGGTCAAATAGAGTGGAATTTAAACGATTTAAATTTTTCAAAAAATTCAAATTGAATCCAAATTTTGAAAAAAGGACTATCTCTGTATTTTGAAAGATGGAGAACATCATACAATGTTGTTTGAAATCTCTGAAAGGTCAAATAGAGTGAGATTTAAAGGAATTAAATTTTTCAAAAAATTTAAATTGAATCCAAAAGTTAAAATAATGACTATCTCTGTATTTTGAAAGATGGAGAACATCATACAATGTGTTTTGAAATCTTTTAAAGGTCAAAAAGAGTAAGATTTAAACACTTTAAATTTTTCAAAAAAATTAAATTGAATTCAAATGGTAAAACAAGGACTATTTCTATATCTTGAAAGATGGAGAACATCATATGATGTGTTTTGAAATCTCTCAAAGGTCAAATAGAGTGAAATTAAAACGATTTAAATTTTTCAAAAAATTTAAATTGAATCCAAACGTTAAAACAAGGACTATCTGTAGATTTTGAGAGATGGAGAACATCATACAATGTGTTTTGAAATCTCTCAAAGGTCAAATAGAGTGAGATTTAAACGATTTAAATTTTTCAAAAATTTAAATTGCTTCCAAATGTTAAAACAAAGACTGTCTCTGTATTTTAAAAGATGGAGAACATCATACAATGTGTTTTGAAACCTCTCAAAGGTCAATTAGAGTGAGATTTAAACGATTTAAATTTTTCAAAAATTTGAATTGAATCCAAATGGTAAAATCAAGGACTATCTCTACATTTTGAAAGATGGAGAACATCATACAATGTGTTTTGAAATCTCTCAAAGGTCAAATAGAGTGGAATTTAAACGATTTGAATTTTTCAAAAAATTCAAATTGAATCCAAATTTTGAAAAAAGGACTATCTCTGTATTTTGAAAGATGGAGAACATCATACAATATTGTTTGAAATCTCTGAAAGGTCAAATAGAGTGAGATTTAAAGGAATTAAATTTTTCAAAAAATTTAAATTGCTTCCAAAAGTTAAAATAAGGACTATCTCTGTATTTTGAAAGATGGAGAACATCATACAATGGGTTTTGAAATCTTTTAAAGGTCAAATAGAGTAAGATTTAAACACTTTAAATTTTTCAAAAAATTTAATTTGAATTCAAATGGTAAAACAAGGACTTTTTCTATATCTTGAAAGATGGAGAATATCATATGATGTGTTTTGAAATCTCTCAAAGGTCAAATAGAGTGAAATTTAAACGATTTAAATTTTTCAAAAAATTTTAATTGAATCCAAACGTTAAAACAAGGACTATCTGTATATTTTGAGAGATGGAGAACATCATACAACGTGTTTTGAAATCTCTCAAAGGTCAAATAGAGTGAGATTTAAACGATTTAAATTTTTCAAAAAATTTAAATTGCTTCCAAATGTTAAAACAAGGACTGTCTCTGTGTTTTGAAAGATGGAGAACATCGTACAATGTGTTTTGGAACCTCTCAAAGGTCAATTACAGTGAGATTTAAACGATTTAATTTTTTCAAAAAATTTAAATTGCAATGAAATATTAAATAAAAGCCAACTTCCATATTTTGAAGGAAGAGAACATCATTTGTTGCGTTTTTAGGTTTGTGGAAGGAATTTAAATTTTTTGAAAAATTTAAATCGTTTAAATTTCACCCTATTTGACCTTTGAGAGATTTTAAAACACATTGTATGATGTTCTCCATCTTTCAAAATACAGAGATAGTCTTTGTATTAACATTTGGATTCAATTTAAATTTTTTGAAAAATTTAAATCGTTTAAATTTCACTCTATTTGACCTTTGAGAGATTTCAAAACACATTGTTTGATGTTCTCCATCTCTCAAAATATAGAGATAGTCCTTGTTTTAACGTTTGGATTCAATTTAAATTTTTTGAAAAATTTAAATCGTTTAAATTTCACTCTATTTGACCTTTGAGAGATTTCAAAACACATCATATGATGTTCTCCATCTTTCAAGATATAGAAATAGTCCTTGTTTTAACATTTGAATTCAATTTAAATTTTTTGAAAAATTTAAATCGTTTAAATTTCACTCTATTTGACCTTTGAGAGATTTCAACCTTATTGCATGATGTTCTCCATCTTTGGGAGCAGTTTTGAATTTTTTTTTTCAAAAAAAAATTTAAATCGTTTAAATTTCACTCTTTTTGACCTCCAATAGACTCCAAATCACTCTCATTCATGTTCTCATGTTTTAGATGCCCTTGATTTCATATTTTAAGTCTTTTAAATTATTCTAAATTTGAAAATTTTTGAAGTTTTAAATGCTGCAATAAAAATTCATCAAGTAGGGGCTCACTGCTTTAAACATTAGAGGATATATCAAAATCTTACGATTTTAAAGGTATTAAAATTTGAAATTATAGTATTCAAACCTTTCAATGATTTAAATTGAATACACAATTTTTCATAATCACAGGTACATTATGAAATCACTATTTCAGACTTAATTGAATGTCCTTGCTTTCTTCTAGGTCACTGTGTATTAAACGTCGCTGAAGAAAATCAATAACTTATACATGGGCCGTCAAAATTCTCTAACACACCTGAGCTCATATTTTCTTTAAAATTGCACCTAAAATCAAAACAAATATACTGTAGGAAAGATCACAGGAAGACCTATCAGACGGTGTAAAAAGTTTTAAAATCGGTCAAGAATTAAAAGAGTAAAGATTTTTAAAAAAGAAATAAAAGGATATCCGCCAAAGATCAAAGAGTACGGTCATCAACAAGTGTCCTTGATAATGAGTTTGACATGTCCTGTCAAAAAAAAGCAAACATACCTGAGCTCATATTTTCTTTATTAGTGCACTTACAAACAAAAGAAATATATTGTTGGAAAGGTCTCGTAAAGATCTATTTGATGGTGTATAAAGTTCTAAAATCGGTCAAGAAATAAAAAAGTAATGCTTTTTAAAAGAAATCAAAGGATATCTGCCAAAGATCAAAGAGTACGGTCATACGCAAGTGTCCTTGACAATGATTTTGACATG